GAGGATTGGAAAGGAAATTACATTAGATTAGTTTGTAGGTTATGATATAAAAATTATATGTTTATTGTTCTCAAGTGATGATGATGATTATTATTATGAGTCCTGCATTTTGGGTCCAACTCCTGCCTGCCGCACAGCGATTCATGACAATCTCCTTTATTTATCCAGCTGAAAAGTCTCATTGACAGTAAAAAAATGTCTTAAAAAAAGACAGCTCTGGCCAATTGGGCAGCAGACAAATAAATATAATAGTTCTATAAAGATATTGTATGTGGCCAAAACACACTGGATGATTTTGGCACAATAATCCAGAGTCATAAAGTTATTTGCAAAACTGGCGTTTTCTTTATTTTATATATAACCCCTTTCATAAATTCTGCTGACTATAGTCTATTTACTAATATAGTAAAGACATTACACTTTACCTCGCAGAACAGAATTTAGTGGAGGAGATGAAATTGTTGGAAAGCAGGACATTTGTGGATGTTTTTTTTTATCTTTAAAAAAAAAAACTCAGTCTGCATCCTGCACTCAATCGTTACATTTTCTATAAGAAACAATGAAGTGAATTCGAGCCCTCACCTGCTCCCTAACACGAACAAAAAAAAGACAGTTTCTGGCCTGACTGGTGCAGACAACTGGGGAACTGAAATATAAAGTAGAAAAGGGGTAGTTTGTTAGTCAGTGAGGAGAAAGCTGTTAAAATAAAGGTTTAAATAATATGTCGTCAAAGTAGCACTTCCCTTTGTGTCTAGGTTGGGTACAACTTCAGGAAATGAAATTGAATAATTTGCTCGGATTATATTTTTGCTTGCAGATGTTATGACATGAATATAATTCCATAGGGCAACAACAGATGAGAAATTAACTTCAATATCGATTAACTGGATATTATAAACTTAAATACTTCCATCGTTACCCAGAAGGAAGGACTGTAGGGAGCAAAATTAGTATTTTTATTATTTTTACTTATATTTATCACCATGGTATGTGCATCACTGAATAACACATCACAGTAAAGAGCTCAACTTAGCTTCCCAGACTTTCTTCTAATAAGCAGATGTGGAAACAAGCAATTATAAAAATTACAATGACTACATGCTTACTACTGCTGCAAGCACTTTCAACTGCTGTTGAAAGCAGTTTAAACTGTTGGTGGAAACACAAGTACAGATTTCAAACCGTACCTACACCTGTTCTTCAGGTCTGTCGGTGGAGCCGTTTATCCTTTTCTTCCACAGCTGTCAGATTGCTGAGGCAGACAATTCAGAAGATTTGTTTAAATTTACATTTAATTTCAAATCTTTAAAGATGTTTTATATAAAATAATTTAGTATTCAACACACAATGAAAAAGATCCGTTTTGTTCCTGAGCTGCTTATTTTATTTAAGAGCAATGTTTTTAAAAGTTTTTGTAAAACTAAACATATCTTCAGTATTTTCATAACAGACAGTTTTACATTAAATAAATTAATTAGTACAAGAATATTTTGAGACATATTTAACTTTGAGTGAAACAAAAGAGAACTAGGACCAGGGGCCCGTTCTTCGTACCTCGCTTACTACATCCAAGATCAAATCATCGAAATCCCGCACTCATGAGTTCTTGCTCTGCTGCCGGAAAATACCGAGCACGCCCCTTCGACATTTTCGTCGACCAATCAGCGGGTTGCCGATCAATGTTTCTACTATCGATGCGTAGCCCCTTTTACGACACCCAGTGATGTCACATTACTGCGTCCAGCTGTACTAATCGTCAACAACAGGTGGGTTCGGGGAACCGGATTAGCGAGCTCACGGTTAGCGCGATCGTTTGATCTTGGATGTGTCATTTGATCTTGGATGTAGTGAGCGACGTACGAAGAACGGGCCCCACGATCCAAGATCACGCGAAATCGTCACCAATCAAATCCAGCTAACTTACTTAGCGAGGTACGAAGAACGGACCCCTGCTGTTGTTGTTGTTGTTGTTGTCCATGCTCTTGTTGCTCATAATTTGCTGTTCAAAAAAATAAAATATAAAAGAAGTACACAGTATGTACAGTTAGGCCTTCACAATTTATTCACAATTATGTAACAGTACAATAACATTTTTGTTAATAAAATCAATGAATAATTGTCATGAATGAATCCATCCATTCGCTTCCGCTTATCCTTTTCAGGGTCGCGGGGGGCGCTGGAGCCTATCCCAGCTGTCATAGGGCGAGAGGCGGGGTACACCCTGGACAGGTCGCCAGTCTGTCGCAGGGCCAACACACAGGGACAGACAACCATTCGCACTCACATTCACTCGCACATTCAA